ATGATGATGATGATGATGATGATGATGATGATGATGATGATGATGATGATGATGATGATGATGATTATTATTAATACTATAATACTATATAATATTAATATAAGACTAATATATGTAATATATATAATATAATAGTATTATATATAATATACTATATAAGACTAATATAATACTATATAATAATAATAATAATAATAATAATTGTATATAATTATTATAATAATTATTATTAGAGCCTTGCGGCTCATTTTTATAGTTACCGATTGTCAACGACTATAAAAACGAGACACAAGGTAATCGCATCTCCTCTTCCCAAATTGTACATTTTTGTGCACAATCTGAGCGCGAATTAGGGAGAAATTACTGTAGCGAGAAATCCCGAGCGGGTGACCGAGGTGGTGCGAGCTGGCGAGACTGCAATAAACCGAAAATATGCTGCCGATGAGGTGTGTAGTACTCTATTATGCGGAAGTGCAGCGATCACTTTATTACCGGAAAGAAGACGGCTCTAAGACATTATAAACCTAAAAGACCGAAAATGAGGCTATATAGCTCTACGAAATTGAAGACCTAAAAGACGCGACTTTTTGTCAAGTGCATACCGTTCGTTGAAGAAATACGAATATTGTCTTGCCAAGCCAGAGAAAACTTCCCGGAAATCAAGACATTTCGAACTTGAACAAAAAGCAATATGCTCCGAAGAAAATCGGACGGACGGTGAATAAATATTCCGTTGAGGAACGGAACAAGTAGCATAATGCTATACAATATTACTATATACTATTGCTATACTACTACAAAATAAACCAGCGAATATGGGATTATTTTTCGTATTTTTCTTTCTATTTCAACTCGAAGTTATTGAAAGATGTATAATCTTGCTCAACTATCTGTATACAGGGTGTCCCAAAAATGTCTCGCAGTCCGAAAGTGACGGGTTCCTCAGGTCATTCGAAGCAACTTTTTCCTTTACAAAAATTTTCTCCGAGGCACCGTTAACGAGTTATTAACGAAAAACAGTGACTAATGAGAGGCGAGCTCGGCTGGCGCGAGGCGACCGAGCCAATGGGCGGAACTGGGCTTCGCGCGCTGGTTGGCTGGGCCGCCTAGCGTCAGCCATACTCGATTCTTATTGGTCGCACTTTTTCGTTAATAACTCGTTAACGGTGCCTCGGAGAACATTTTTGTAAAGGAAGAAGTTGCTTCAAATGATCCGAGGAACCCGCTATTTCCGGATTGCGAGACATTTTTTGGGACACCGTGCATACGAAGAACACTAATGCAGCGGTCATGCTCAGCCTGTCAAGGCTGTCTAGAAGTCCGAATCTACTGAGACTGTGTCAATAGAGTGGTTCATCGATTAGATTGCCGTGGCGGCGTGCTGTTTGTCCTCTTTTTATCCGAGTCCCGATTGTGTTAAGAGCGAGATCGTTTATTTAGTCAGGTTTCGGACGAACCGGGTGTCGCGTCTCGAGCCTTAGCGTGTCTCTATATTTAGTGTCACATGTTCGGCGTGTATCGCCCGGGGCAAGGTGTCTCTCTCGTTGCTTCTTTATTCCCTTCTTCGGTCACGGCTGATGCGGCTTTCCGGAGAGATTCATACCAGCATTCTAACGACACGCTCCGCCACGGCCCGGTGTTATTCATTCGCATGCTAACAGTTTATAACATTAATTCGCATCGATGAATGCGTCACTGTCTTCCAGTTTCTTGCCACAGCCACGGCTCTCGGTTAGCCGACGATAGGAGCCCCGCGGGGTTCTCCACCTTTTTCTCCCGTTCACGATTCTACGAGTGACCCTCCAGGGTTAGCCGATACAAGTTCACAGCCGTCTTATGCGTGTGCGCGAGCATTCATGCACCACTGAGCCGAGTCCTGGCTGCAGCGCCTCGAGCTACGCGTGCCCCTTACATGTATTTCTTATATCTTCCTGCTTCTCTTTCGTTTCTTGCGCCCTTCCTGCATTTTTCTTCTCTACATTCTACATTCTACGTGGACCGGCTACAGATTAGATTTCGTGCCGTTTTAGAATTGGCCTTCCCTCCCGCGTCTGCACACCGCCGCTTTTGGCTTTCGCTATTGACACGGTTCATGGTCCCGGCTGGAGCTGTCTCGGTAAAGATAATTCGTGGTCAGTTTAGCAATAGTTATAGTTATAGTTTGTAGCTATAGTTTAGCTTTAGTTTTAGTTTTTTTTTATATATTTTATATATTTTTTAGTTTTTTTATAGCTACAGTTTAGCAACAGTTCCGTGTGCGAATTTTGCGAAGCGAAAATTCTATGTTCAGGTGGAAAACTTTCGTTCGAACGAAATTTATTTTCTAGAACAAGTTAACACTATGCCGTCCGCAGATCTTAGATATGATTCTTTTGTTCGACGCCGGCATAATAGCTTGGAAATCTTAGATTTTAAAAAAATGTTCGGGGATGGTGGTAATGTAAATTCCTGAAATTAAGATATGTCATCGAAGAATTTTCGTATTTAATTCTTAGTTAAATAAGCACAATGCTACAGTTAGTTTGCTGCCTTTTAACAGCGTGGTGCCACCGGTCGGCATAGTGTTAAGAAGGAACAGAACGGCATTAGGTTCATTTTATACATTTCCCGATATTCCGTATATTCTGCAAAAGTTTCTGTGCTTCTGAAAGGCTCAACACCTTGCGCTATTTTCACGAGTCTGACTTGTGATGAAAATTTCAGGCCAAACTTGAATATCACGAGTCAGACTCGTTGTTTAATTTCACGAGTCGAACTTGTTATCGACATTTCAGGCCGAATATGAATATCTCGAGTCTGACTCGTGGTCTTAATCTTGGACCAAGGTTATTTTATATATAAATAATATAGATAATATATATATAATTTATATAATATATAATAATAATAATAATAATAATATAATTATAATATAATTAATTTATTTATATAAATAATATACTAATAACATAATAATTATTATATATAATAATAATATAAATAATCTACGACACTCCCCGACCATTCGGGCGCATGGGTTTGGCACAGCTTTTTCCAAGTTTCAGCGTAGTGCAAGGGGTTAATTTTGTTTTTAATTGTGTTCCAGACAAATGAGAAACGTAAACATCTTTTAGAACATTGTTTAATAATCATCGACGAGTTACCACATCATTTATGAACTTAACGCTAGACTCACCGAGCAATAAAAGCAACTAACGTCTGTTGGTCCGTGCAATTTACGAAACTGAATTTATTTAGACAATTCGCTGTGTTTATTACAATGTATGCTCGAATTGAGATATATATTTAGTAAATTTGTACAAAAGAGTCTCTGTAGCAATCTTAATATAAAAAATGTGGAAGCGGTCAAAATGACCACATGGTGAGTTTAGTGTTGTGGAAAGACACAGAATGTGGTCGTCTTTAGTTTCTTATTAAAATTATAATAATTCTATAGAACATTAATAGGGTACATACTTCCTAAAGAACGAGGAGAAAGGTATAAAACTCTTGTTCAATATCTCATTCATCCTCGAAGTCATTTAAATAAAAATCATTAGGCATAAAATGAAATGATCAGAAAAATCGTTATGATAATTTCAGTGAAATTCTCTAATTATAAAATTGGATGATTGGCAGGACCTTCGAAATAATTTAAATGACTATTTAAATTATTTAATAATAATAATATAATAATATATATATATAATATAATTAATATATATATATATATTATTTATTATATTATATATATTATATATATTATTATATTATATTATATATATAATATAATTAAATAATAATATAATAATATGACTATTTCAATTATTTAATAATAATGACTATTTAATTGAACGATTAAAAGTATTTTAATAATAACTTAAACGACAGTATTTGGACACGAAGTTGAAGGATTGTAAGGATACGTCGACGGTTCATCTAAGGTGACGCGCATTGTAAAACGATGATACACTTCGACATGATAACAAAGATCGTGCGGTTTCAGTAACCATTACCAACAAACTGCATTATCAGCGAGACGCGCACAGTATCGCGATAACGCTCCTTCAAACAGCGTATCTGATTCCCGTCGGATTTCCACTCTAGGATGAGTAACGACCGATAAATCGTTGGCTTTGGTGGGGGGTCCAGCAATAAATAATGAACAGAGCTGAGAGCACACATATTTTATTATAAATACTTTTTCTCCTGGTAACGGTTAAGCACGCACACACTCGCACACATATCTACGTCCTAGACATTTAAACAAATATCAGCGGCGAACAGCGAGGTTTCGCGGAAAAACCGCGCTAATAACCTGTTCGTACGTTCGCGTTATTTATCGTGGACGAGTCTCGCGTCTCGTTGACGGGTCCACGCAGCTCAGCAACTACTAACTCAATGGCGCAATCGATTTTTCATTAAACACCCACACACCCACACACACACACACACACACACACACACGCACGCACGCAAGTCGACGAGAGCTATGTACCGTTGTAATTGTAAAACCAATTAAGCTGCTTTTATACTTTTGCTACCAACGGATGCGTCGTAACTTTGATTCCGATACGTTGCGCGTGGCGAACGAACATGTTGCCGAGCCGGTGCAGCAACCGATCGCTTATGCTAACGCGCGAGTTCGGTAATATTGTTCTCGCCTTTTTAAACCAATACACAGCACACTTGACCGTCTGTGCAATCGACGGCGTTGTGCTGCAAAAATAAAGCACACTTTTCCATGCATATACCTCCGTGGTGGGCACAGTGGGTTCTGTGTTGTCTTTTCACTGTAAACAAGAATAGCGCAATTTTAGCATCTTTACATTGTAATATCGTTTTTAACCCGAGAAAGATAACCTACGTCGCAGAGGCGCCTGCGAAGACTGTTGATTTTTGTTAATTTTTCATAGAGGTCTAGTGATTTAAGTTTAAAATTACTGAAAATATAAAAAAATATAATATAAATGCATTTTATTTTTACAATAATGCCAAACATTTAAAATGACTAGATTAACTTAAATAAATATCCATTGTTAGTATAAAATTGACGCCTTAGAAAAGCATGCGCCTCTGAAGCGTATGGTTATCTTTTACGTACGTTGTCATATGGTTATCTTTCTAGGGTTAAATTGTTTAAAAGAATTAGAGGGGGACAACAGTTTAAAATAACATTCGAGAATGTTGAGATGTAGGTCATGTGTTGTTTACAGTGAAAAGACAACACAGTGGGTTCTGTGTTGTAATTTCACTGTAAACAAGAATAGCGCAATTTTAGCATCTTTACATTGTAATATCGTTTTTAAATTGTTTAAAAGAATTAGAGGGGGACAACAGTTTAAAGTAACATTCGAGAATGTTGGGGTTGCTGTGCCTTTGCTTTGCTTTCGAGCATAATTCACTTTATACTTATCGAGTAAGACGTATCAAATTTTTTTTTAATTCAAAAATAAACAAAATAAAGGAATAAAACCGGTTGCACGAGCCTAGGCGATAATGCGTAATGAATAGGCCGCGCGGATCATTATGCAAAATTGTCTGCATCAGTGAATAAAAATGGGCTTCAATGAAAGTGCATTTCTTCTCTTAATGATTTCAGTGAGCTCGTTGGTTTCTTCGCTGTTTTCACTATTTCGTATCTTGGTTGCTGGTCTTTTTGCATAAATACACATACATGAAATCCATAGTCTAATAATAATAATAATAACGGCAGGTGTACGGTAATAATATGGTTCTTAATAATTTTTCACTTCTTATTTGATTAATATGTGGATTAATTAAATGTCAACAAGACTCTTTTACGTTCTGAGTCGTGTAAATTGCCTACAGAATCCACAATCGTTAGATGCCGATCTATGTACAGTAAGACCCCGTTTAACGCGGGGGATACGTTCCAATAAGTTCCAGCGCTAAACGAAACAGCGTTAACACGTTGAATGCCACGCCGGTTTTACAGAAATTGTCCGTGGCGCCGCGATGAATTTTCTTTTACGTGATACATATAATGTTGAAATATTATCTGTAATAGATAAGTTACAGTATATAACCATGTTCGACATGTTAATTGCGACAGGGATCACTGTTCGAATCGACGATGATAATAATACAAAATTTTTAATATTGACATTTGTTTTAAATTATATATATTTCTATTAATTTGGGCGCGCCGGTCACCGGTGGCCCCCATGGCGTCACCGCCAAGTTAAGTGCCGGTCACCGGTGACCCCCGTGGCATTCAACGTGTTAAACGAGGCAACCTAACACGTACATATGTAAATATGTAATGGGGATCAGTGAACGCAGGAAAGATGCGTTCGTACTGTGACTGCGACTTCGGGGAATACAGTTGGAACCTTTATTCTGGACAGACTAACAAAAGAGCGTTGGAAAAGATGCATAGTGTACGCCGTTGCTAAATGAGCCGTTTATTTTGAAAGTGGCATAAGTCACTTTACCGTAATGAAAAGTGGTGATTTTTTTAACGTTTNCGCCGTTGCTAAATGAGCCGTTTATTTTGAAAGTGGCATAAGTCACTTTACCGTAATGAAAAGTGGTGATTTTTTTAACGTTTATACGAAATTATTTATACCGAGAAAAATACTACTGGTATTATTACGAACTGATAGTATCTAGTATATCTTTTTAGTCGTTTTGCATGACAGATGTATAAAATCCGATGGATCGTAGAGAATATATTTGACAAAAATTAAACACACACATCGTCAAACTTGACAATGACCAGCGTTAACCAACTGAGCCGTTTATTTTGAAAGTGGCATAAGTCACTTTACCGTAATGAAAAGTGGTGATTTTTTAATGTTTATACGAAATTATTTATACCGAGAAAAATACCAGTATCCCGAGATAACAAATACAAGTAAATCGTCTCTAAAGTTAGCGTCCATATTTTGAAACGTGTTGAAACGCAAACCCTGAAATATATCGACTTAAAAACGAAGTGACTTATGCCACTTTCAAAATAAACGGCTCA